GCATATTTGACCTGAAGCCTGTTACTCTGTCTAGAAACAAAAAGATCCAAAGCTCTTGATTCAAGACTCCCTAATGCCTAGGGTCTCATTAAAGGAGGGAGGGCAGAATAGAGGTCAGGAGTCAGATACAACCAGAAAGTAATACTGGCGGTGGTGAGCTAGAAAATTCTTTGGTCTCTTGGTGCGGACTGGTTATGTGCTTGTGAGCATCATGGAATTCACAGCTCTGTTCAAGTTCGGTTACATTCTTGTCTGTCTATTGCATACGTTTGTCTTGTTGGAGTTATCACTCACTCACTTTGCATTTATCTTATGTCATTCAGCCTGGTCCTTAGTGGAGACTCTTTGTGGTACATGATATTAAAAATGAGATATAGCAAACTGATTTTAAGATTAGTTTTCTTTAAAGTATGTCTCTAATTTTTTTATAATCAGAAATATGTGTTCTTGGATTAATAGCTTAGGGCAACATTTTGTTTTGCTATACATAAGGTCACCATGACTTGGAGCTGACTTGACAGCAACTAATGACAACAACAATAAGGTAGGCTCAAGGGAAAAATGGAATTGGCAAGGGATTTTTAACCTATAGTATTATAAGAGAAAATGAGAGTATGTTAAAAACATTACTTCCCTCTAGTGGACGAGTCTGCAAATGTTTGTCCATCAAGGGAAATGACTGTGACATTAAATTAGCCGTGAGCCCATAGCAAACTTCTAGGAATGTGAGTCACACAACTCCTATTTTCTCTCCTTGGGGAGATTTTAGCATGTGAAATAGAAATTAAGAGGACAGTGATATACTGGTTCTCTATTTGATTCCTTTTATTTTTCCAAAGTTTGTGTTCAAGAATTCAAGAAAATGTAAATACTATTGGAAGATTGGAGATGCTGAGGAACATGACTATTAATTAAATAATGTCAAAAGAGTATAATTTTTTTTTTTTAATAAGAACATCAATGAAGGTATGGCCATTTTAATTAAATTCCAATTCTTTCTTTGAGAAGGAAGAGAGAATGTGTGTTTGTGCGTGTACATGTGTGGGTTAGAGAAGAAGACCAAAAATTACAATGTCATCATTTTAAGACATACGAAGATAACTCAGCAGTACTTATGTGCCTCTGTGTGTATATGTATGTGTGTGTGCACGTACGCTCACGGTCACATGTAGTTGGTATATGTGTCTGCATGTAGGTCATAACTCTATGGGGCAGTTCTACTCTGTCCTATAGGGTCGCTATGAGATGGAATCGACTCGATGGCAACAGTTTTTTTATGGGTAGGGCATAGGGCCAATGTCTACCATACGGAGTTAAGGGGTATAGGGAAGGAGCGTAGAAGAATAATTCTGGGACCAGAGAGGAGGACCAAGTCAATGGAGTTTCTTGCTTGGTTGCTACTCTGTGTTTTGCTGCACGCATACCCTGGAAGAAGAGCTATGGTGAAGGTCTCCAGTACAACAACTGGAGAGCCAGCATGAAAGCCTATAAGCATTTTTTTTAAATGGTAAATTGGAAGAAGTATGGAATATGGAGTCAGCATATCTGGGTGAATTTCTAACTGTGAACTATGAACTATGCAACATTGTTAATTCATTTATTCTTTCTGAGTTTCTGCTTTCTTATTTGTAAATCAGGAATAATAATAATGTAGTAATAATACATGTACTATGTATGTACTATGAAACCAAAACCAAACTCATTGCTGCCGAGTCGATTCCAACTCATAGTGACCCTATAGGACAGAGTAGAACTAACTGCCCCATAGAGTTTCCAAGGAGCACCTGGTGGATTAGAACTGCCGACCTTTTGGTTAGCAGCAGTAGAACTTGACCACTAGGCCACCAGGGTTTCCTGCTATGTACCATAGGTCAGTGGTAAGATACAAATAAGGCATTTCAAGTGAAAGTACACTTTGTAAATGATAAATACCTATACAAATGTCATTGCAGCTCTAAACCAAAACACCCAACCTCATTGCTGTTGAGTCAATTCCGACTCATAGTGATCCCCTAGGACAGAGTAGAATTGCCCCATAAGGTTTACAGGGAGCAGCTCGTGGATTTGAACTGCCAATCATTTGTTTAGCAGCCGAGCTCTTGACCACTAAGCCACCAGATCGTAATTAAAAAGAGTGACATGGAAGCAGCTTGATTGATAGCTCTCTGTGTCAGGGAGATAAACAAACTCTGAGTTTTAAGAGTCTTTATGCCTCCAGCTTTTGGTCAACTCATTGGAAGATATCTAAACTTGTACTGATATGCTTATCTCAGAATAACTCATGGAAAGATTCTCTGAACTCTTCTGTTGACCATATAAACATAGTTTCATTCCCAAGAAGGAAAAGGAAAATTCTAATGTATGCAATCAATGTTTAATTAAGACTTGCAAGCTTCAGCTGACATTATCTTTGTTCCTGTCTTAATTTCAGATTTTAACAAACATGTACTTTTAAACTTTACTTTTATGTTAAAAGTTTCCTTTGAGAATTACTAGGTAAGTCCAATTTCAAAGCAGAAACCCTTGGACCACACTGAGTGTCTGAAGAGTTTTTATTTGTATGTGTTAAAAAATGCATTATCTTATCTTCGTATGTCCAATAAAGAAATAAAATTGGAAATATGTCAATTAAAAGCATTGACACTGAAAATCAGAGATTATCTGTTTGAAACCAAATCCCATATATGAATTATTTTTGAAATCACAATTCAATCCCAAATCTTTTTGAAAATGGACAAACTGTTAATATGAAATATGAGATGACATCAGGAGAGCTGTAGATTCTAGTGTGTGATATTACTGGTATAATTTTATAAAATGCTTATATTTATACATTGATGCTCACTAACTTGAAGATTTCTTTGTTTCAAGGACAAAATTCTCAGGGAGAGATTTAATTTTCCTATGAATCCAGTGATGGATGGCTCAATGGAGAAGATATTCAGAGGATGTTATATTTTCGAAGATTTTTCCAAATGAACTAGTTTATAAGGGTAAAAGAATTTTAAGCTCCAGTAGTAAGCAACTCTTTGTATGGAAGAGAGATTTTTATGAAACCTCCAATTTTTCTACACTAAAGATAAATTATGCCAAATAGTGACTTATAATATTGTAAGGATATAGTTATTATTTATTATAAAAAACTAAATTTAAAATTTTACTTTTATTTTATTTTAAATTTAAAATATATTTCACTATCTGCAGACTTTGATTTTCCATTGTCATCTTTTGTTACTTTTAATATTATCCTGTGGATAATCATATCCCAAAGTGCATTCTGGGGAGCACTAGTACTGCAAAATGTCACAAAAAATGTGTTATTAATTAAATAAGTTTGATAAAAGCTGTGTATTATAAGAAATTATTAATTATTTTTAGGTGTGATAATGGTGTTATTTTATTAACAAAAGATTTATCTTTCAGAGATACATACTAAAGTATTTATGAATGAAATGATGTAATGTCTGGAATTTGCTTCAATACAGCAAGGAAATGGGGAAAGAAAATGGGGGTTTGGATGGGGCAGGGTTAGCAATGGGCTAATGTACTGGGTTTGAGTGATGAACCCATGTGGGTTCATTACACTGTCCAGCCTACATATGTGCATATTTTGTGTATATTAGAAATTCTCCACAACAAAAAGTTAAACAAAGATGCATATTATATTTCCCTAAGAGATTTTGCAGCCCACGAAAGGACTCTAAAGAGTTCTGAGATGAAGGATCCATTTAGTTAGTTTGGCTCTTCCCAAACTTATCTGACCATTGGACTATTCTTTTTAAGGAACACCTGTTAACGACTCTCCTTGACACTTTGGGAATGGGTATAAAATAGTAGAACAAATTCTTTCCCCGCCATGGATTGTTATCGGTGGTAATTCCAGGCTTCTAGCACATAAAAAGTTTTGTGTATGTGTTGAAAAATATTCAGATAACAGAAAATAAAAAAAGAATCCTTTTATCATTTCCAAATTCTGAAAAATTTGAGGTATGTATAAGTAAAACATTTGATCAATTTCACTCAGGTTTATATTGTATATACATATAACCTCAGAAATATTGTTAAAGAAAATGAAACTTCAGAAACAAAGAGTGAATGGTAGTGCATACTTTGAAAAATAAGAAGCAATTCTGTTTGAATAATAACCATACATTTAGTTACAAAATGCTTAATAGCTAAATGGAAAACTGTGTTAAAAAACAACAACAAAAACCACATTATGTAACATCATTATTTTATAACCTCAATAATTTACTTTTATTTTTACCTCAAATTTCTATAAAAATCTAAAAATCTAATAATTTGATAAAATCCCATTTGTATACCCACATATTATTTTTGAAACTAGGAAAATTATATTACTTAGATATTTTCCTCAAAATAAAATTCCATTGTAGCTAAATAAGATTTACATTTTATATAAAATGCTTTATGAATTTTCATGTCTCAGAAACTATGTTTTAGTTTCTAAATAAATGAAAGGTATTTATTATTTATTATTTTTAACTTTTTATTATTTTTGAACTTTGCATCTAAATATAAACAACCTTATTGTTATTATTTATAGCTGCCCTTTCTAGCTTTTTGGATACTAGCAACATTTTTTATTGCTGACTTTTACAAAAATTGAAACAAGAACATTTGCATTTATTACAATAAACTGTCAAAAATTGCATTAATTTCCATTGATGCCCATTAATTTCCACTGATGCCCATTAATTTGATAAATGTTTTGTCATTTGTACCATTTGCACTGTCAAAACAAGTTTATTATATTTTACTGACATTTTTGACAATTGCTTTAACTCTCGCAAAAATAAGTGTCTTATTTGCTTCAGCAAAAATTCACTCGTGCCTCTTGAAAGCTTAAACTAAGCAAGAGAATACCAGCACATGTCAGAAGTCTTGCAAGGTTCAATTTAGGATAAATTGTAAAACAATGATTCCCCAGGACTCTTTTATAGAAGTGTTCACGTTTTGTAGTAGAAAATATTATGTACCTGCATAATCTGTTCTTGCATAATGCCCATCTTCAGATTTAGTAGTTGCAGTTGTGTTATCTGTGTTAAAAGACAATAACAACAAAGATTGATTAACTGTTTCCTAAATCGCTAATGTCAACCTTATCTTATACCTCCAACAGTATCTTCACTGCAGTTAAGGAATTTTTACAGCATCTTTATACAAGGACAGATTTGTATTGTCAATTTTTGTCTGAAGGCAAATACTAGAATGATGACTGCTTTTTAAAATTTGGAATAAGGAGAAGATTCACAATTACAACTGTGATAAGTGGTTTAAAAGAGTAGGTCAAAAATCAAAAGGTTTGGTTCTGATCAAGACACAAAATAGAGTATTACAGTATACCTTGCTTTTAAAAATGCACTTGAAATATTTCTACTGAATGAAAGCAGAAAAATAGAGTGATTTGCTTTTAGTTTCAATGTTATCTAATAAATACTTAGATTCTTTGCTAAAAAGTATTTCGAATTTCTTTTTTCCTCTGCAAGGAGAATATCTTCTGTCTTCTGAATATTGGCCTCTGTGTTCATGGCATTGTGAATACACAGTCCCAATATATAGAAAAAGATATGGACTGTTGCTGATATGCCGTCAAATTCCTGGAATCAACAGAAATGCTACAGTAAACTCTACTGCCCTTTATAAATCAGAACTGTCTTTCAGGAATGAAATAGCTGCCTAATAAGAAGTTATCCTCACTCTTCATTTCTGCACAAAGACTAAAAACATTCTTTGAAATGAATTTTGGTATGAACATTACCTTGACATCGACCCAAAGACATGACTTCAATTTTCTCCTGTTTCTGACATGACGCTTCTTTGATTTGACATGCATTATCATAAGATTTCCCATCAGAAGCACAGAGGGGATTGAAGTTGGTTTGAGAGCAGTCAATGTTGCACACACACCTAAAGGAAGGAAGTGAAACAAAAATATGTAACATCAATAGTGTTGTTACCACGTCATAAATAAAACACAAAGTGAAAGACTTGCTAGGTTGGCAAAATGCAAGTTGGTGAAATTGAATTGTATCATTCCAGGGAAGTATCTTCACTTTTATACCTGAGATGAAAAGAAAACATGGAACTAATAGGAAATAATTCAAACAATTGAGCAATGGGTAAGAAATGAAAAGTGGAAACTCAGAAAGTGATCATCAGTTAATCTCTGCCACCAGAAATTTTAAAACATGTACATAAAACTTCCATGCTGAGACCTGCAGAATTTGAATAGGCTGATGTAGCCAAGAAACTCGGCTGCAGAATTTCCTTAAATGAATTCATACTGTGTTACTTCTTTTCTAGAGATACTTGAATGGTTAAAGCTTGAGTAAGATGATTCAGAGGACAGTTAAGAGAAACAAATTATTTGGAGTCCAGTCAGGAGTTAAATTTCTTCAGCATAAATAAGGTGCACATAAACTACACAAAGAGGAATTTTCAGGGGTCTTTAACATGTTTGGGTCCAGAAAACTCTTTGAGAATTAAATTAAAGCTATAGATCTCTCCCTTGACAAATACTCATACTCAGATAAATAACCCTTTGCATAAAATTTCAGGGGTTTCATGGGTCCCTTGAAACTTATCCCACGGACTTCATTCCCAGATATACAATTCTCTTTTCTGCTTCTATTTTTAAACAATAAATACAGGTTGATTTGTCACTCATGACTTTTAGTATATGTTCTATAATCTAAAAAAAAAAAAAAAACAAAACTGTGAATTAATGAGAACTAGGTTACCTGAACTAGAAGAATTAGACACTTTAATCAAATTTTGTATGGTTTTTCCTATGTGTTTATATTATAATGCTCTGTATTTTACTACATTTTGTAACTGAGAATATTGTGGTTTTTTTTCATGTGTGAAAACATGTTTTAGAATATAAATTCTTCAAATGCAGGGAAGAAAAGATTGGGTTCTCATTAGTATTTTAAATTTTTATTAACATTTGTATTCTTTTTCTAAATAGATTATATGCTTCTCTCATTTAGTGCAGGGCATGTAATATAATATAATGGTAACAATAACAACCAGCTTACCACATGCTGGAGTTTTAACATGCATTGCTTTATTTAATCTTCACAACAGTCATTTTACAGTCCAAATACATTACAGGGGTGAGACAGCTAGTAAATGGTAGAACTACAGATGTGTTAAACAAAAACCTGACCCCTCTCCACCCACATTCCAGTTGTTGTTGTTTGGTACTGTGGAGTAGATTTCTGACTCACAGAGGCTGTGTATTAGAATTGCCTGGAGAACTTTTAAGCATACAGATTCATAAACAGGTTCCTGGGCCCCAGGAACTCTGGGGTAGAGTCTAGGATTCTGTATTCTTCAGCAGTCAGCGTGGCACCACACTCACTGCCTGGGAACCACTGCTTGATCTTAACAGGTTGTTGATTAAGAGAGGATTTGTCTACAGCAGAGGTTTTCAGAGCGTGGTCCTTAGACCATCTGTATTAGAATTGCCTGGAATGCTGTTCAAAATGCTGTTAGAAAATGCGCTAATGCATTTAAAAAAAATTTTTTTTTAAGAGAACTGCTTTAGGAACACTTGGTTATTTTTATACTTGCCTATTTAGGTATGAATTGCTAGGAGAGACGGTAACTATCCCTAAATGCTTACTTAAGTCATTGAGGTGTGGTGGTCCTACCTTGGCTGTGATGTTGCCATATGATGATGGCTCCTGGGAGCATAACATTGCTACCATGATGGATTCCTGATGTGAAAAATCTGAGATTAAAGACTGCTTACTTGTTCAAAGAGATTTTGGTCTTTTTATTGTGTATTTGGAGAAGGGACTTTGTAGATCAGGGTTATACTAAATAAAGAGAGGGGGTGACATTTTGTACTAAAAAAAAAGTGGTGTGTATTTCAGTGCATATACATAGTATTTCTTTGAAAGGATACGTACGAAACTGATAACATTGGTTTGCTTGTGGAGGTAAATTGAAGGAACTGTGGGACATGAGTAGGAGGGAGATTTTTAATTTAAGAATTAAAATAAAATGTAATTTTTTTATTGTTATTCAAGAAGACGTTTATAATGAGTAAGGTTGATGAATCTTAATAAAATGAACACCTGTGAAGACCAACCAAACCTGCTGCCCTGGAGTCAATTCCGACTCATAGAACACCCGCAAGCCCCTCCCCTCAAATGTGGTTCCTTTTGTCTTCAAGCCAGTTTAAGTTTTGACTATTTGTTGTTTAGTTAGACTCTAGGAACTCTTTGAAAGATGTCTAAATATCTGCTAGAACATGTTCTCTCATGTATCTATCTAAATTATAAATTAAGTAACATATCAAGGGCTTTGCAGTTAAGCTCCAAATAAGTCTAGAGAAATTCAGGAATGTACACCATATATATTTTGAAAAAATAATTGACAGCTTGGAAATCCATTTGATGCCATAACAAAAGGTTGAAGTGGGAATAGACATGGGAAGAGAAAATCTAGTTGAACCAAATTGGCTAGAATTAATGTCTAAGTGAAAAATTCACTTCATTAAGCTATGCTGCTGTTAGCTGCTGTCAAGTTGGCCTCTGACTCATGGGCACCCCAGGCACAATGAAATGGATCAATCAAAAGGCTGCCCAGTCCTGCGCTATCTCCATGATTGGTTGTGGATCCAACCACTGTGATTCCTAGAGTTTTCACTGGCTGATTTTCAG